GCTTCAGTAGATGTGCCAGACATCAGAGCTGCTTATACTCCATTCACACTACAGTTGCAAAAATGCGCATTTCTATAATCTGAATTTTTCGTGAGGAATTCGATTCAGTATTGCGTTCACACACGCTAATGCGAAACCAAATTACACGTTGAAAATTTCAGGTTTAACTTCCTGTTTTGAACACTCGCGCATGCACCGCACAGGAAATCTTAAAATTCCAACAAAAATTTGTGACAACAAATGCAACTCTAAAGACATTCCAGCATTCTTGGGAAGTATAAGATGGCAAAATAAGTTTGTTTCCTCATGTTGTAGTGAGTGGTGACCTCCAAATACGTTTGGTACAATCGTTAAAGTAATAAACAAGCGTTCATAGATACCCGCACTTATCTGCACACATGCGCAGTTAGATCTGTTCAGGTGTCTATTCCGGTAAGTTATCCGGATCGCGCTTAGAAATCCACCTCGCTTGCAGGATTTTGAAAATGCGCATTACAAAAATCCTCTTGCGTTCACACTACTGCATTTATTCGAATTGTGACCTAATTCGCAATTTATCCGGATAACTGAGCATAGTGTGAACGGGGTATTAATGTAATTTAGTGAGAAACCCTTCTGAGATGGGTTGATCCTGCTAGATTGATCTAGGTATGTGAATAGGATCATAAAGTTTGATGGCATATTTGGAAGCATCACTCCTTTCCATGATCCCACTGGTTCTACTTCTATTTGTAAATTATTATCAGAATCTAAAGCTGCTGCTACATTTTGTAATGGTAATGGCATTAAATATTAATTAGTGTACATGTACAGCACTCCAATGAGGTGATGGAGGGAATATGTATCCCTTTATGGGCGCATTCCCATAGATTTTAGATCGATCTATCCCCGTGGGGAGTCTCACTAGATTACTGTCAGATAATCCGGCTTAAATGTCCGTCCCGCCTACTACAAGCTGTAAGGGGGTAATTAACTCGTGCCCACTCGGCTGACAGCTATTTAGCGTGAACCCCCAGGGAGTTAGGTCGATATAGTTGGATCGATCTAATCTCTAGGAATGGGGTCTATGTTTATAGTAGATTGTACTTTTGTGGTTTTGTACAAGTGAGTGTGTTTTTAACTTATTAAGTTAGCAATTCAATAATGTAGTGCACATAAACACACACACACATTGGTTTATATATATATATAATTTTTTTTAACACATTTCAACTGATGCCCAATGTTGTTGTATTCTGATCGATTTTGTAAATAACAAAATATATAGATTTAAGGAACCAGAATATTACCAACTCTGAACCACTTAGATAAGCATATCAGAATGCAATCAAAAGCAGATTTGGGCTCCGTTGAGTCACTTTTAGCGTAGTCATGTGAAAGAATTCTCCAAGAATCTAAAAGGCTTATATCTTTTTTATTGCCTTTTATCTAAGCCTCTGAGGAAATGTGACTTTCTTAACAATGGTTTGTGTTCTGAGTGGTGTTAATTGCCAATTTAGGTTTGTCAACTTCATTTAGTGTGGGTCGATTACTTGTTCATAAAATGCTCACAACTGGAATTGCAGAATCTGATACTTATTTTTAAGAAGATAGCCAGCTAACCAAAATTCATGTTGAGGGCCCAGCACCTTCGTCATCAATTTATGTGTGTGTGTGTGTGTGTGTATGTGTGTGTGTGTGTGTGTGTGTGTGTGTGTCAGTTCTCGGGTCATCTAATCTGGATAGCCCCATTGATATTTAAAGACATGACAATTTTTCATAAGTGGTTCAGTACAACTTACTAAGCTTTGAAAAATTAATTAAAATGTATGGATAATTGCAATGATGGTAGGTTCACATGCAAGATCAATTCAACATGCCGCTGGGACAACTGTGATTGCCACAATTTCAACAGGGCTTAAGTGTGTCTGAACTTACTTTCAGGGTTTCTGAGATACAGTTAATTCTCCATATTTCTTTGTTATATGGAGTATCTTTATAGGATGTGTCAGTGTGTGGTGAATGCTGTTAATTTCTAGCAGAGCTGCTTCTAATAAAATCGCACATTATATAATGCAATGTTCGTGCATGCATGCAACCATGTGTTTATGTTCCAGATGCTCTCTCTAAATATGTCACAGCTAATATAGCAATCTCCCTCACCCTCCTTTAGCTTTGAGTTGCACAGGTACTGGTAGCTTGTAAAGTTAGGCTATAAGACAGTGCTCTTGGATTCATTTTGCTAAACAAGGTCCTGATCTAGCTAGTATTAGATTCATTTTGCTAAACGAGATCCTGATCTAGCTAGCATTGGATTCAATTTGCTGAACAAGGTCCTGATCTGGCTAGCATTGGATTCATTTTGCTAAACAACCCCCTGTTCTACGTAGCATTGGATTAATTTTGCTAAACTAGGTCCAGATCTAGCTAGCATTAGATTCATTTTGCTAAACAAGGTCCTGATCTAGCTAGTATTGGATTCATTTTGCTAAATGAGGTCCTGATCTAGCTGACATTGGATTAAATTTGCTAAACAAGGTCCTGATCTAGATAGCATTGGATTCATTTTGCTAAATGAGATCCTGGTCTAGCTACCATTAGATTAATTTTGCTAATTTAAACTAGTTCCTGATCTAGCTAGCATTAGATTAATTTTGCTAAACTAGGTCCTAATCTTAGACTAGCTAGCACTGGATTTTAAACAAGTGTTTGTAACATCTTTTTTTTTTATTTTTTTTTTGCAGACAACAGACTGTACCATCTGCTCTTTACGGCACGAAACCATTTTATTAATATCTTTTATTTTACCAATGCCCAAGGTGCCATCATGCAATCATGTACTGGTTTGTCACAAGTGAAATACTGCTAAAAAAACAATAATAAAACAAGAAAAACAATTTTCTAGTAAGATCAAAATGTTTTTTATGTCTTGCAGGCCATATTGAAATCCAAGCAGATTTAAAATCAGCCTATGCCAAACTGAAATCTAAGTCACAGACAATTTTAAATTATGAATAGATTAATAACATCCATAATAAAGCCATTTGCATCTATCGATAAGTGCATCCTATCTTGCATAAAAGGGATTACAAAGCATTTTATACTACATATATTGTAGGGATTCTTTTGAACTGTTAGTCCTGTCTATCTGTAATTTGACAACCAATTTTTTAAAGCTCATTATCATTTTTTCCTTCTAAAATACAGTCATTAGCTGACCTAAATACTCAGTGATGGAAAATAAATGCCGAGGCTGATTTTGAATGTGCCAACGCAAGATTAAATTATCAGTGTATCTTACCTGGACTGATTTTAAGTCTGCCTGCCCCAGAGTGAAGTTTAAATCTGGACTAGGCGAGAACGTCTTTTCAATCAAGGCACTGAATATGTGAAAGAGTAAATAAATGAAATGCTTTCTGAGTGGTAACATTATAAAACCCTCTTAACATGGATTTAGCCCGTAAGCGCATACATTGTACAAACCTTGTATTTCCTGTAGTTTGGAGGCCTTTCTTCACAAAAGCTCTTTTTGTCCGCAACAGTAAGTGGTGTCCTCTAGCTATTTTTCCTCAACAGTTGAAGTCAGTGTAGGTTGGTAACAAAGGTGGTGCAGAGTGTTTCCTGTCGCAAATTTACAGAGAGATTTTCCAGACAATTACCTGAAATGACATAAAATATATATAACCGTTATTCAGCATGCAGTTACATATTTTGTTGCTGCTGCATTGTTGCAATTGGGCTTGCTTCCAAGTAGGCAGTGATATGAAACTATACACCAGACAAAAGTTAATAGGCAACAGTTAAACCAAAACAGAGGTGGAGAAGATGAATTTTTTCTATGGTTAATGCACACAAATTTTCCTGAAAAAAAAAATTGAAACTATTAAAAGATGTCTGTAATAATGTTGTAATTCAGATGTGAACTTACATATGCCCTATATGCAGTGTGCAGGTTGGTTCCGTTTCACTGCTTTATGGCACTCTTAAGGTGCATACTTTCAGGCTAGACTAAGGTAACACGAGTGCTTGATTTCAGTGGGTTATTTGTTCAGTAGTCCCACACATAAAGGTGTCAGATGGGGAGACATTTAAGGGATGTGCTCTTTATATGAGACATATTTTTAATGGGATTTTTACTACAAAGGTGTGTTCATACCATGATAGATTTGGACTGATATAGGTCACTATATGTGATATTATTAATATTATTGTCGTTATTTAATAGGCATAAAATATGATCTAATAAGCAGGAATGTGAGGAGTACAATCAAACTCACTGACTGAAGGCGTCCTCACGAAACTTGATGCTCACTAATGGCCTATTGGCAGATTGTTCGACCAATAAAATAACTCAAATGATCAGTCAAATGACAAACTTTTGAATAGATGTGGTCCTAAATTGGAGGGCATTGACATTCAAATATTTAAACAATTATTGACTTTACGTTGTGTTGTAGACTCTGGTCATAACAGAGTCTTGGCTGATTTCACTTTTTTAAAGCCAGCTGTAAAACAACATATTGACCTTTGCCAAAATCAATAATTTACCCAGGATTGTATTTACAGGGCAACCAAATTAGCAAGATTGAATGTTTAATCAATTTTCAAGAGAGTCTAAAAAGTTGAAATATTGTGACTGGTGGTGGGATGGCGTTATACCAAGTTAGTTTATTTTTAGTCAATAACCTTTTCTCCTTAAATGCCTAGTTTATTTTTCTTTCATAAGGACTAAACACTCAAAATTGAATTCTTTGGTAAGCCAGGTATGCCGCTTTTTTACAAACATAGACACTAAGACTGCAGAGAAGGCCTTTCTCTCTCTCTCTCTCTTTTTTTTTTTTTCGCCAAGAAATAAATGTTCCATGCTTGATTAATAATTTAAGGGTGTTTAATGTAAAACGTAACATCACAGTTTTCGTTGCTTTATAAATGGCCATGATAAGCATTGAGGTCGTACCTTTTCCATGTTAAAAATGGCACTCAGTCCGTAAACAGCTGGTAGCTGCACTCTCAATGTGGAAATGCAAGACTTTATGTGTCGCGTGCATTTTCTCAAAGGAGCTCACTATACATGTGATCATGTAGAAAATGATTTGAACCAGGTTAGGTAAATAGCTGGGATGCAGCTTTTTGTATGAAAAAGGCTGACTCTGTACATTAATGCCCACCTTGCTCTATTGTGTATATTTGAAGGCAAAATGCACCATGCCCTGCTGTCACTGAGATATCGATATTGAAACTGAAAATCATCCTTAAAATTTGCAGGAATATGAGCCAATAGAGTGTTCTCTTGAGATTGGCTGTGCATGCTGAATTCAAGGAGTAAACTATGAACCATGCAATCTTAACCAGGCATCTGAGCTACAGGTGTTCATTAAAGCACAGTGTAGAAACTGAAGCAATCTGAATCTTGTTTCTTAGTTTGTTACTTAACAGGTCTTAGGGACTGTTCACAATGGGTTTTGTCAACCTAGCTAATGTGCAGGGACTCTCGCTGAATGCAATCAGATTGGCAGACTAAAATGCCTCCTTGTTTCTAACTCATATAATCACCAGCTTTTCTATATTTTACTCAGTGCCAGTAGGAAGTATGAGGAGGAGGTGCCCCTTTGTTATGTGGGGTTGGTGACGCACTTTGGATTTTTTTTTGCGTATTAAGTGGCCAGTGTTTAATGATGGCTTGGAGAAAGTTAGTATAATTGGTTTTTTCTTGACTCATCAAATAATCTGGGCACATAAAATAATTTCTAGAAATCCTCTAGCCCTTCAACCTGTCCTGGCTAATGAAGCAATTATGNTTATAAACGTCATCTAGCTGCAACATTTTGATTAAACTATTTTGCTTTTACTCTGCTTTTTTGTGCCTAAATGTATAGTTAGCCTTATAAAATAGGGGAAAAAAAGAAGAAACCAATTGTGGAGAAACTAGATATAATTTCAAGAATTTGATAAGACCATATTGGAAATAAGGAACACATTGGGAATAAATCTGAGGTTTTTCAAGTGCCATCTTGGGGTTTTATTTTTATGTCAGATCCCAATTTTCTGAAATGGATCCATTCATTCGTTCATAACTGTACCCAGGGACTCTGTTTTGAAGGGATTTGTCAGGTCGTAGCAATGTATTGAAGGAAACTTCCCTTGATTTAGATTCAATATGCCTTCAGTGCCCTTGGTTCTTTAAGTGGTGTTGGGGATAATTATTACAAGTATAAGTTGTTCATAAACTGAAGCTGAAGGAAATTGTAGTCTGGAAATTGTAATGTGTATTTTGTATATTTATTAAATTTGGAAATTAACAAGAGTGGTCAGTGTTTTGTTAAATCCATACAGAAAGGAAAGAAGGCAATTCACAATACAATATAATATAAGATTTCTTAAAGCAAACATATAATCAGACATTGAAATAAAAATAAAATGGCACAAGAAGAAAAAAAAAAGTTATGTGCAGGGAATGGGTACTTGCAATGTATGTCCAAGGCAAGATAGGAAGAAAAATGAAAGAAAGGCAGAAATGCCATTAGACTGTACATATAACACAGACTTGCCAACTTTGTGCATTTACACATATTCTTAACATTTCGAGCACGTCATGTTGGCAACTGTGATGCCAATGGAAGAATAAAACATAAAAAATAAAGTAATGGCACTTAAAATATTCTTACTTGACAATGTCTAAAGGCTCATTCCCAATGATAATTTCTCTACATTGATCAAACTCTGCAGGGACTCTTGCTGAATGCACTCAAATTAACAGATTAACACATGTTGAGTAGAGTACCCAAAAGATGGTGATTACATGAGTACGTTGGAAACAACAGGGGCCATGTTAATCTGTTGTTTAAACTGCTTACATTCAGCGAGAGTCTTGCTGAGTTAGATCGATGTACTTTGAATGAAGATTTAATTGGAAATGAGCCCTAATATTACAAGCGTGGTTGATTGATGATTTTAAAATGGAGGAGGCACGTATAGAATCCATTCTATGTGGACACACCTGTAGGCGAAGGATGATAACTAAGCAATTAACTGTCAACTGAAAGAGAAATTGATATGTAGATGGTGTGACTGTTCTCAGTTTTATAACCTGGCCTATTTAAAATTAGACGACTTTAGAAAGAACAGCTGAGAACTTGCCTATGTGATGTTTGTAAGATTGATGAATTTCCGCATGACATTGCTATAGAAATACGGTATATCAAAGGACTGTCGGACTTGATGATTTTGAAGAATATCACATCAACATGAAGTTAAATGTCAATGTTATCAAGTGCTTCTTGGATAAGGGGGAATTTTTTTGGGTTTTATAACAATATTTTTATATTCTGTGCTTTAGTATTAAAATTTCTTTTTTTCATGCAATAAATAAATAAAAAATATAGTGATAAATGAATAAATAAAAGAAAAGAAAATCTCATGTAAGAATATTAAGGTAAAAAGTAAAACTATTAATTAATTAATTAATTTATTTATTTATTTATTTATTATTATTTTTTTTTTTTAAGCAAATTAGTAACCATAATGATTATAGTTACTGTAAAAATTGCATAATTCTTTTGCTATAATATGGAGTAGCCTTTGAATAAATTGTGTTATGCAGAAAGTGTTGGTAGTAACCATAATTTATCATAGTCAAATTTAAAATAGATTTCCTAAAATGTATTACAATCTATTCTAATTTCATTTTTTTAAAATATATATATAAATATAGAAGTGCTACATGATCATAGTTTCATCTTTTTCACCAATTATATATATTTTCTTCAGAGAACTCCTTGAAGTACACCATGAGGACTCCAAACTTACGTTTAAAGTTGATGGATACATCAGCAATGCCAACTACTCAGTGAAAAAATGCATATTTTTGCTGTTCATCAATCGTAAGTGTCTTTTGCTGTTAACTTTTGCACTTAATATTGAAACTATCGGACTTGTTTTTTAAAAGTAAAATCAGTGTCAAAAATATTTCTGTAGAATAGAGCTATATTATTGAATTATACGTAATGGTCCAAGTCTTTCTTTCTTTCTGCTTTCTCATGTAAAAGTCTATCCTCCTTTAAGGGCATTTTTTCAAAATTTCAGAGAGTGAAAACAAAACAATTGTTTCGACACCAATCTGCCATAGCAGAGTAATCTTTTGTGGTCATAAAATCAGATTCCATGTTTGTTTCTTATCTGGGAATGTACTTTATAAGGGGAATCGGCCATTTCTGGTTGGCCCCAAACTAGCCCTCTGTGCTCATCTTTATTGTGAATCATTCTTATTTTCCACTATTTTTCATTTGACATTTTACATGGCATGTCACATTTGAACTCTTGTTCTATCCATTTTTTCCTAATAAAGACAAATTGAAAATTGCATCTTAAAGAAAGAAAATATCAAATTTTGTTAGTCTTGATGGAAAAAAAAACTACATCTTTCTATATCAAGCAAATGTAATTCTATTTTTATTTAGAGAAATTGTACTTGGCGGAGCGGTAACTTCATGCATGTTTAAAAAACAAATTAGGAATGATTTCTCAGGAAAACAATTTGCTGAAGTAAGTTGCAGATCATTAACTTCAAAATCACTGAAAGGTTGCTGTAAACACAGTGGCAGAGATAGTAAACAGCCTCCTAATACACGTACTGTATAGTTTCTCAGGACTTTTTTACTTTCAAATAATATCATATATGAGCTTTTTGGTTATTTGCATAACCAGAAAAAGATATAAATTTATTTGATTAACATACCACCTCTAAACCGATGGTTCCTTTATAAATTATACTTAAAATGTACCTGTGTCAGTGACTTTCAACAGAAGGAGCATACTTCTAGTCTAAGATCAAGAAAGTGCTTGATATTTGCACAAATTAAGAAAAATAGGCCCAGGAAATGACAGGTCCAGATGGCTTTTTTACGGAGTTCCATTCCAGTTTGACCTTTTTAGTTGCAGTTCTTGAACACAATAAATCAAAGCTGGCAGTGCTTCCACAATTAATGTTCAGGTATGTCTGTTGAACATAAAGACCCCCCACCTGAATGGTATGTGGGTTGCAATCGATGCAGTTTTGTTCATCTTTCAATTTACTTGTTGGAGTGATGAATGCATTTTGTGGCAGCCTGTCTTAATTGTTAACAGCTGAGGTGAATGAAAATATCTGATAAAGTCCAGTTCCAGCCAAGAATCTAATACTAGTAATTATTATGAATTAATTATAATATTTATGGTTTGATAATTTACCAAGACAATCAAAAGTAAAAAGTCAAAGTTCCTGGTATACTGCGCACCACATCCCTCTCAGTGTGGCTTAGACCGGGTTCCTATACCTAGATCCATCTAACAGGATCAATCCATCTCTGAGAGGTTTCTCACTAAATTGCTTTCAGCTTGAGAAGCTTAGATGTCTGGTATGCCTGCTGAAGCAACTAAACAATAATTAATTACCCCTTAGCAGTAGGCATGCCAGACATCTAAGCTGCTTAAGCTGAAAGCAATTTAGCAAGAATCCTCTCGGAGATTGATTCACAGTTAGTGCGATAGGGTCTGGGAATGGTCCCTTACATTAGATCAGGAAATTTTAGGCCATGATACAGACTAGTTCTTATCTCCCTGGGGAGCGTACAGTCCAGCTCAGCTGGAGTAGGAGGTTTTGATAGCTACCAAATGAATAAAAGACCAGGGACTTTACCCCTGTTTCAACCCAGAAGTGCTGAGTGCCAAGCAGAGAGATAGCAGGTACCACCAACTAAGGACTGGTATATCCCTGGACAGGTCGAACTCATCATCCTCTCCCACTCTGGAGTCATATGCTCTGACCACAAGGCCATCCATAATAAACCACTGTACATGCTTCTTTTACAGAGATATACTAACAGATATATTGAAATGCACTCTATCAAGGGGGGGGGGGGGGGGGGG